GTGTCTTTATTACTAGAAATTAGAGGTAAGAGGAATAAATTAAGGAGAAAATAATGTATGTCGATAGGAAATCTAAAATCAGAGTATCGGGAGGACTAGGTAAAGGTAAGTGATTAGGAATTTTATTTTCATCTATTTTAGAATATTCATAATCTTATCTTCTAACTTCTTTTCTTCATATTCTTTGTCGCTATCCATTTCATCTTCTTTAACCTCCTCTTTCTCGATCTCTTCTTCAATGTCATAAACTGTAATTAAATGATTTTTACTAAAAAGGACATGAGTAATTTTTTAAATTCTATGAGAAGGGTAAGTTCCTTACCTTCCAGATAAGGGTCATTTCAGAAGCTACCCAATCGATTCTAGCTTGGGCTTTAGAAAATCAATCATTTTCAACAATGGCTTGATATGACCCAGTATCTATAAAGATAACAATGATAGAGATTTTTATTACTCCAATTTTAAAGGAGAAGTTGAATATTTCTCCTAAAGGCCTCTTACTTTCACTATGAATATTAATTATATTTACTATAGACAGACATTCGACCTTGATATCTAGATCCTATAGAAAATATGATAAAACAATGCTTCTTGATAAACCACTATCAATAATTAAAGAGATAGTTATACCCAGGATTTGAGCATTATATTAAAGAGTGATGAACCTTTTTTTCAGGACTAATACTAATATTTACTTTGACTTTTCTTTTAGCAGAGGCCTTCTTTTTCTGCAGACTTTAACCCAATTCACCTTGTAATACAGGAGCAATACAAAAAAGTTGGCTATAAATAATATTAGCATGCTTATTCTGGATATTTGCGACAATTTAGTAAGGAGAAACCAAAAATGCAATTTGAGGAAGTTCATCTTCCTGAACTTTCTTATGGATAATAAGTTTAGACTTCATGATAGCAACCTTAGCAGAGACAATATATGATCTACAACTGTTTCAGAGGGGTTGTCAATCTTCTTTTCTTTATTCACCTCTTTTTTCATTAATTGTTTCAAAGTTTTCTTCTCTAACTCCACCTCTTCTAATTCTTCTTTTCTTCATTTTATAGGGTGAAGGTTACCACTAGGTTATTGAGAGTCCCATTTGTTTACAACAAACAAGAGAATGTCCTTCGCAGAGATGCTGATATAGATGTATTGATTACTTGAACCACTAAAGAAATTTAAACTAGCAGCCAAGACTAGTAAAGCCTAAAGAGTCTCTTGCTGCTGATTCTTAGGTACATCATTAGGTCCCAGATTTACAGACATAGTTGGTGGTAGATTAAAAGGAGGAACTTGAACCTGAGGTAGGTTCAGCTGGTTTTGAGGAACCAGATTAGAGTGAAAATTAGGTTGGGGATTTGTCACTTGACAATTTTGACTAATATAGTAAGACAGACCACACTTATAATCTATAGGCCAGCTTGTATTTTCTAAAATAAGCAGTTTTCGCTTCTGTAACTAAAAAAGCATTTTGTTAACAGCCTTGATCAACTTTTCATTTCTGATTTAGAGAAGGATACTAGGGGTTGAATCTTAACAAAAACAGAAGGGTGGAGTATGCTGAATACAAAGCACTTAATGAAATAGGAGAATAAAAAAGACTTTGATAACAGGTACTCTCATATGCCTTGGCATGTTCATAAGCAGTCTCAAGAGTATTCAGGGTGGAGGAGGCAATGGCTAGGACAAATTCAAGTTATAGATTATTAAGGAAATTTTGTACCTTAGCTATTTCAGAGTACTAATAACCCAGATTTAACATGTTGAAGAAGCTCCTGAATAGAGGTATAATAGGTATTGACATTTTTATTTAGTTGTTGCTTGTAGGTAGCAAGCTAGGCAAACCACTTTTCTTCCAACGTGGGTATGAAAATGATTAATAAAAGTAGACAGAAACTCTGGGCCATATTAGCACCATTGTTCCAGGTATTAATGAGATTGAGAAACCTTTGGATAGTAGCCTACCATGTTGTCGTAGACTTTTTTAGGTAGGAATAACAATATCAATCTTTCAATTATCACTAATCAGATTGGCTACAAAAGCCTTTTCTATCTAGTCAAGCCAGGTTATTAGATCTTGGTTTTCTTGATGAAGTCAGAGTAGGAAACAAGATTTAACTCCTGGTAGAAAACATTAATTTGAGCAGCTAGTGCAACTTGCATTTGTTGGATCAATAAACTGATTTGGGTAACCAAATTGTTGATAGGATTATTTGAATTGGGCAGTTGGGTAAGATTTGGCTGCTATGGAGGGTTAGCAGGATTTTGTTAAGCCATTACTCTTTTCTGGGTCAAGATAAGTTTTCTATTTACTTTTTTTAAGGTAGAATTCAGTTTGTTATATCTTTTTAGAAGGGTTTATATTTATTGTATAAATGATTTTATGAATGATTGGGAGAGATGAAAATTCGATTCCTCCAAAGAAGAGAGATATTAGTTAATTGTTTTTATGAATTATTAGAAAAATAAATATTTGATTCCACACAATCGGCACCAATTGTAACTATTGTTGGGAGAACTTAATAGAATTATGTGGAATGAAGGCCAATTTAACTCCAATAGTATATATAGAAATAAGGACAATTGGGTAGATGAAGTAAGTCTTTTATAGTTGTAGTAAACAAAAGAGACAATAGGATATGATAACAAAGACTTAATATCAACAAAGGATAATAGGGGTGATGCAATAACAGATGATGCCATTAGCAATAGTAATCAATGGATGATTTCAGGAACAATGATGACAATTTAAAGATGTTTAAGTGAGGGCAGTAATCCTAAAGATGATTATAAGACCAAAAGTGGATGATGATTAAGTATAACTTTAAGTTTACGTGATGATTAATTGAAACAAATAACCAGTTATAGGTGGTGTTCCCTACCACAATTTTCACAAGTTACTGATATTTAAATACAATAAATGATTCAAACTCGAGTCTTAATAGTCCAAGTTGAAGTTAAAAATCAATTCGGTCTGTTGAATTGAGTCTCAATTAGGTTTATTAAAGTTTCAAGTCAGATTCAAAACAATATGCAGGAAAATATTTAGATAAGTTTATGTATTAAATATAGTATAGGTGACACCTTAATAAATAATCAATTGATTTAAAGTAGATGTCACTTATACTATATTTTATCCAAGTTTATACTTTATTCAATCGAAAAATGGAACAATATTTAAAGATGGAATGATAGTTTTTTTTTTTATTTTCATAAAGTAGAACTAATAAATTCTGTTCTTTATTGCTTTGAATTACAGGTCTTTAAATACATTTTAATTTTTAGGAATATATACACCGCAATTTCGGTGTTTACACTGAAATTATAACGTAGACATGGAAATTTTGGGTGTATATACTACAAAAATAATGTACACACTGAAAAATCCTAAGCCGCAGTCTTTGTACAATCACATATACACAATTTTTTCAGTGTTTACGTGATTCATCTGATTTTTATGTAGTCATGTCACTAAGCCACCCATCATGACTATTTTAGTATAAGTAATGAACTCTTCAAAAGAAAATTAATAAATTTGACTAAATTGGGCATTATTACAAAAATGGATGGGGAATTACAAATAAACTATATCGATATACATGCGGATATTTCACTGAGAAAAATAGAAAATTTATTTACAATAATTCATAAAATAAAAATAAAAAATTTTAACTCGTTACAATAGTAGTCTTCTTAGATTTAGTAGTTTGAACAAAGATGTAATTGATAAAAATAGTAGCAAGGATTGAAAGTTTAAAAGTATAAATAGCCTTAGATATTTCTCATGTAAAGGACAGAACTTGAAGTTCCAACAACTTGACAATAAATAAAGAGTAGCTATGTCTTCATACATGAACAACTCGAATACTTTATTGAATAAATCATACAAATAACCATTCCCTAACGAGTAATCGTGTCTTCATACACAGATAACTCGAATAAAATAGTAGATCAGTTATGGTGTCTTCATACACGGATAACCCGAACAAACCTTAACCCTGTTATAGTGTCACCATATACGAATAACTTGAGTATAGTAATAAACTTGTTAACACGACTACTTGTATCTTCATATACATTTAGCCGGTTGCCTCTTTCGTAACTGAAGATCACTATAATCCTCTTAAAGCTAACTGCAATAACCCATACTTTACCTAAGCATAAATTGGGATTTGATTATCAAACGCCTAATATATTCGTCGCTATAGTAAACCATTATACCAAACTTATAAGAGGTAGTTTCAGGTGTAACAACATCTACAAATCAGCAAGCAAGTCCCGAGCATCTCAATTCTTATCACATTTTTCTTTTTTCTCTTTGAATCATTTCGTAACTTAATATCAGATGGGTATCGTTAGGCAAGTTATTGAGTAAGGCCAGCCACAATTCAGCAAGCAAGTTTCCGAGCCTCCGATTCTCACTCACATTTTTCTTTTTCTCTTTGAACCACTACATCACTTAACATCAGATGAGTGTCGTGGAGCAAGTTGCTAAGCAAAATCACCCACAAGTCAGCAAGTTCTCGAGCATCTCAATTCTCAATCCCACTTTTCTTTTTTCCTCTTACAAGTGCATTTACTAACGTCTCCTAATCTTTTTCTTTGTAAAACCTCTTCTTCCTTTGGATGTTAACCCTATTTCATTACTATTCTCAGCAGGTGCTTTTGGATTTATTCCGTCATACATCTATATTCACAATCCTCAAGGCAGTTAATCAACCAACTGACTTGGTGAAGCTTTAATAGTATTTGGTATTCTTTGTGTGTTGATAACAATAAAGCTAAATGTTTTGATGAGACAATCAGCAATTGTTCGGCTATTTTATCTGCTTCTAGAAATTTCTTTTTAATTATATAATCGTTACCAACTGAACTTTTCATAACATCATTCCATTCTTTTAGTGTCTTATAAACATCCTCAGAATTAGATTCAATAAAGCGATTCAGAGTTCTGGGTGAAAATTTAGGCAATAATCCTTTATGAATTTTGATTGCAAGACCAAAATTAAATTAATAAACATCAAAAGGTCTTTTTTAATTGACATTTTTGATATGATAACTCCGAAACCATAAGTATCTACTGCCTTTGTAAACTTTTAATGCGCTAAAATCTCGGGCAACATAAAACATGACACCATAAATACCGCTTGAATCGTTTCTGTCATACACTTCCTGAATCGTTTCTAACCTATTTTTAGACAATTTTATGCATAATCCAAACCACTTAATCATCAAATATTCATATGTTCTATTTGTTCTGTATTTCATGTACTCCATATATTTTTTGTTTGATAAAGTATAGGGAAAAAGCACCATACACCAAAGATCCGGATCCAAGTCAGACAGTGAAGGAAAGTTGCACTTGTCTTTTTCAAGGCCGATTCCATTTTGATAGCCAATACTGATCTTGTATATATTGTCAAATGTGGATTCGGGTCACCACGCTATACCAAAAATCTAGTACACAAAAAGCTCCTCGAAAAGAATGCATGGGAGATTTGGCCTAAGAACCTGAGATCCTACTGCCATTAGGATCCACGAGCATGATTAGTTTGATTTTTATTAATAATATATATATTATTCGAGTCAACACAAGTGGGTAAGTCGTAAAAACGAGTTAATTCGCCCATAAGATTTAATTGCGAAGGCCCCCAACAAAATTCGTAATTTTACACTTCGTGTTAGTTGCAAAAGCTTCACTCTTGACGCATTATTTCATGCAACTTGATTGCCTAATGATGTATGATTATGTGAACAAACGATTCGAGGCCTAATAAGGTTGCTTTGATTTGAAAAGAGCATGTTCATGCTTATAACGGTGCTTCCGCTTCCCAAATGTTCTTCCCCTTTTTTTTTTTTATCGCCCTTGATTTCATATTAGAATGCAGCTTTGACCTCTATATCAGAACTGCCTTC